GCTGCCCTCTTGACGCCCCCGGGGCAACACTCCAGTGGGTGACAGGCACGGGTGCCCCTTGGGATGGCCGGCCAGGACCCCTAACGCGCCACGCCTCACCCTCACCTCCGTCCGAGCCTCTGCCCAATGACCCTGGACCCTCGGCCTCGCTGGGGAAGGCCCAGGTCTGTGTGTCCGTAGCCCCATGCCCCCGCGGGCGCACATGCAGCTCCGGTGACAGCCGGCAGGGCTGCCCCTGTCCTCCCGGGCCTGTCCCCACAATTCCAGCGCCACCCAGTCCCCCCGGAGAGGAGTTTCTCCAGGCCGCCCCCTGCAGACACCTCAAGCTGGCTGTGGCCAGAGGGCACCATGTCCTCTGAGAGGAGGCCTGGGGCAGAGACCCCAGCTTCACTCAGCATTTATTAAACACCTACTGTGTGTGGGGTCCTGCTCCATGTTGGGCCCTGCCACGTGCCGGGTCCTACTATGTGCCACGCTCTACTGTGTGTCAGGTCCAGTCCCGCCCGTGGGGGCAGGGGGCCGGCCCACACGCCATGCTCCCCCACTCAGCTGCCTCTCCCCAAGAGCCCCCCTGCAGAGGGCCTGGACACGTGCACGAGAAGGTTCTCAGCATCCTTTGTCACGAAGAGACGCCACCACACGCCCACGGGGACAAAATAAAACCAGAAGATCCACAGACTGCCCAGCTGGGCCGAGGATGCAGAAAGCAGTGGGCAGGTACTTATCAAGTTCCACGAACGTGAGTCACATGACCCAGGGGGCCAGGACAGCGAGAGACCGAAAGCTGCTTTCACGTGAGAGACCGAAAGCTGCTTTCACGTAAAAGCCCTCACGTGGTCACGGTGGCTGGGCTCGGAACCACAGCGTCTCTTGCCGGAAGGGACAGATAGGCCGTGGCTCACTGTGGATGGACACCACGCTGCCGCCAAGGGGCAGCCCTCAAGGGACGCATCGTGTCGGGGCTGGGAGCAGACCTGAGGGCCACACGCTGCCTGCTCCACCTGAGGCCATTCTGGAAGAGGCACAGCTGCGGGGCGGATGGCAGACAGCGGCTGCAGGCCGGGCGCGGTCAGGGAGGCGACCACGAGGGCCACTGCAGAGCCTTCCGGGTGAGGACACTGCCCTATATCTCGCATCTGTCCCCACGCAGAGGCCCGTACCCTAAATAGAGTATGCAAAGTGTATGCAAATGACACCACTCGCCTGCGATTTATACATTCCTGTTTTTAAAAACTGGGACAGAGAACCCTGCAGTCTTGCTCTGAGCGTGGGCTGCTGAGGTGGCCCCACAGGGTGGGCGAGGGACCCCGACTCCATGCCCTGTCCTTTCTGGGGTCACCGCTCGCCTCTCTCTGTCCCCTGCAGCTCCCAGCATGGGCCTGAAGAGACACTGTGCTCAGGCACAGCCCACCGGCTTCCCGGCGTGGCGTCTCCACACCTGGGCCTGAGCAGCCTCAGAGCCCCGCACCCTACAGCCCCCAAGCCTGAGAGCCCCACATGGGCCCTGAGGCACGCGTGGACAGCACCACAGGGAGAGGGCCAAGGGGCAGACGGTCCTGAGTCACCAGGGCTGCCCATCCAGGAAGGGGGAGGCAGGGCAGGTAGCCCCACAGTCACCGCCACCCCAAGGGGCCTGCGCCCCACTGAGACCCTGTGCTGACCTCCACTCACACGTGACGTCACAGCTCGCCCCCAGGAATGCCCTGGTGCTGGACGCCATGCCGTCCCCCAACACGGACAGAGGAACTGAGGCCCAAGACCTCAGCGTGGAGCCCCACCCCCCCTCCCGGGCTTCATACTCCTTGTGACATCTGGACGAAGGCCAGCCCACC